GATTTCGCAATAATGTGGCTTTACCGTTGATAATTGCAAATTTTTAGGACACATGGGCCTTATATTCCGAGAACATCTCCAAGGAAGTCTTTTCAGTGATAGTCCTTCTCTTCGTGACGATAAAGTCCACATCCGATTATTACTGGAGCGCAGCACAATATTCGTGTCGTCTGAGCAAGGAAGACACGCGTGCACGGAGAGTCATGCACATCGTCTCGAACGTGTTAACGACAACCGATGAGCAGGAGTTGTTAGATTCCTCAGAATGTCAAACGTGCAGCAGCAAGACCACTAACTCATTGGTCACAACTACCTACAAAAATCCTAGAGCAAAGATATGATGCATACTGAGTTCTAAGGGCAAACAAGACCAACTATTGCACGTGACAGGGAAAAATGGAAGTTTTATGGAGCCTGCTAAAGTCGCTCGAAGATAAAAGGGAAACAGGTGATACAAATAGTACATAGGTCCATATATACGGTATTAAGAAGAAGATGAGTTTCAGCGATTAAATACAGTCAAACAGGAATTCTTATTAAAACAATAAAAATCAACCTCACTGGCGCTTTGAAGAGTTCGCTGCGTGAACACTACTCCACTATCGCGTAACTGGTTTTTTAAAAACGGCACATATCGATTACCTTCTGCAGCAAATGAGGAAAAATGAATAGCATGCCTAAAAAATTCAAGGAATAAATTTTAGACCTCAAAGCCGTGGTAGAGAGACTTGGGTTTCAGAAGCGCTGCAAATTTTACTCTTAAGTATTTCTCAATTTCTTTGATTATACTACCCGCTTTACACATGTTTTGTAAATTTCAGTACAAGTCGCATTCCTTTGGTCACTTGCCTTATATTTTCAATCTACGGCGAATCCCAGATTTACGTATGAATCTAGCTGCCATCTGGGAAATTCGCCTTCTCTATGGTTTTCACTGAATGGTGATCAAAACAGCTTCCCTCAGAATCCTGGAATTTTCTGCTTGAACGCACTATGGGCACTCACTCCACTGACTATTCCACTATGTCTAAGACTGAAACCGATGTTCTCCGAGACTCATGAGTCACTTATATACAGGCTGAGATCGCTGTCAATGTGAATTTCGTCTTTCCATGATAGTCGAGGTTAAGGAAATGACCAAACTGGTGTTTTAGTGTTGCTCACAGAAAACTGCTACAAGTGTTAATCCTCAAGAAAGAGGCTGCAAGTCATGGCCGATCCACAGAAATTGCATTGAAGCGGACTTCAGGCACTGCAGTATATTATAAATTCGCTACCCAAGATGTGTTAAGTTAAGTTGAATCATCAAAGAGTGAACTTTCCATGACTGAGAAATTTCAAGAAGATTTGTTGCTGTTACCTACTTGGAAGGATCTGCGAAAAGAATTTGTCGTTCTTGATCGCTCATATACCGGAAGTTACACACGATATCACCATAGGCACGTTCCTAAATCAGGGAATGCTCAGAGTGATAACGTATTTGAAAATACTTCATTGAGGAAGAATACTTATATCAATCCTTCTATATATGCCTCGTTTTCAAATCAAAATTCACCATAAACATAAAGTATTCAATTATTACTTACAGGCCTAAGTGACTCGACCTGATTGCAGTAATTTGAAAACAGAGTTTTAAGAATGGAAACCTGAGCAGCGAGAGCTTCCTTCGAATCAGACTGAATGTGGCCAGAAAGTAGCTTTACACCTGTTAATGAGCCAGGTAGATTGCGACAGAGTTTCAGCGTACCAATCAAATGTTGCCTTTGCATCCGCTCTGCAAATAGAATGCATCCTATGAGAAATATAATAGAAGGAGAGGAATGGAAAAGACAAAACAAATAAGGAGGGTCTGAGAAGAAGAGAAGAAAGAAGGACAAAAAACATCTAAGTCGATGACACCTAAATTATGGTGAAAATCTGAACTCGTCGATCGAAATCCTTATTACCGAACAAATGCTAATAATTCTTCAGCATGAGCACACTAAATGTGAGTGTTCACATCAATACACTTTTCAATCAGTTTGTTAGTATTGAAGCTTGTGAAAAGCAGTTGGAGCTCACTTAAATAACTATCCAAAATTTGACAGCTCTAAGAAAATCGTTAAAGAGCGGATTCTCAATACCGAATGCTAATTACAAAATCGCTACAAGTTATTCATAAGCACCAGCAATCATGACCACCTAGACACTTGTGAACCCACTTCGTACAAAAACTAGTTATTCACGTCTCCGGTTTACTGCGCAAGCTATTCTCTCACCTTAACTACTGGAATACAATGATTCTAATTCAACGTTTACAACACAAAGGACAAAGAGTGCAACCAAACGGTAGCTGAAGTTTAGGAACATTTAGTACTACATCCGACAACACATAGATAGAGATTAAGCTCAGCACAAGCATGGCGCTGATTCGCCGGCCACCAACCCAAGTATGCCCTTGGTCCATTTGCCGTCGTGACATTGGCATTAGGAACTTGTGGGGGTAAAATGGGTCGTTCCAAACCACAAAAGTTAGCGCCGACTTGTGACAAAGATATGAAATGCCCTCCTACGACTATAGCAATATTCTAAGGAGAACTGATAAAATTTGCGTTCGAAGACATATATAAGGACACGTAAACTAAAAATCCCCAAGCAACGGCTGAATGAAGTGCACAGTGAATACTTATGGAATATGGATGAGAGAGTGCAAGATGTAGTCCAGTCATGAAAGAATAGTGTGACTGAGAAGTCTCCTCGCTGAGACCGTCGACGCATAAGTTTCAAGCCCATTTGATTAATAATCTTGGTAAAAACGTTCCAGCATTATGATCCACAATACACCCAACAAAAACAAGTCAGAAATAGATTATTCTGACGTCTTCAGTCCTCCGACGGCGTCAAAGGCTTTTCAAAATCAGTTTGCCTCTATCTTGTTCAACTGTTTATAGGTGAGCCTTGTAGATGTTACTGTATCTAATTATAAGACTGCAATAAACATAAGGGCGACTCGGTCTGCAACTTTGTAATCACCTCAAAGTGTTGGTCTGCTTGATACGTTCTTACTGCCATTATGAGATCTCTGTCGTTTTGGAAGATTCTATGTGTAGAGGTGGCGAAACTTTTAATTGCTTCCTATCTACAGTTACACATGGTGATGATCTCAGATCGATCTGTAAGGGCTATCATGGGTACTCAGAAAAAGTTATGCTGGAATACCACGCAGCAAGGTAATGAGGAAACAAGTTCACTAGCATCCAATTCATAGTCATATTTATATCCAAGCCCTACCACCTCGATGGATACAGGAGATCCACATGTTATGTGAGAATATATTATTAAATCAGATGGGAAAGGTTGTAACTAACTGCAGCCAACAAAAGCTGCACAAAAATTGACAATGGAGAAATGTCCTTATTCATCGATCGCGCTAAAATTCAATTCTATATCCTCGAACATTGTCTCACTAGAATGGAGAATCACTTCCAACATTTTCATCAGAAAAAATTATAGGAAAAAGTCGTCTTCAAATTATGTCGTTTCAAAACTTAATATTCAAGGCTCATACATTTTGTGTATAAAATCGATCATCGAAGTACCAAGGCAGGATGAATGGATCGAATTCTGATAAATCAAACAGGCTTAGAAAGTTGAATAATCACAAAAATAGAAGACAAACACATGAAGAACGAGAGCATATCCACTGCAGTAGTAAACACTTTGAACCATCTAAATAATACCACACCTATCCTCCACGTCATCGAAGCGAAATAATCCTGCTGGCATCGCTGAACACGTTTTTTCGAACGGTCTATCATGAAACACAGTGATCTAAATTAATTCTAAGTAGTTGCTAAATTGCTCGACATAGACATAATCATACAAACTTTTCAGAAATTGTGTTAACCCCTACTTATTAATTCATTTCCGACGAGTCAAGGAGCGATGTGGAATGTAATAGACACAAGAATGCTGAACTAAGAGCAAACTTGGAATATAATGCATGCGTAATGAATCTGAGTCGCTACACATACTTGGTTGAAGTCCAATACGCAATCATCAGTTTCCAACATTTGCTTCTATCTATGCATTTTTGTAGTTGTACTTCACGTCGCATCGTACCGTTGAAAATTGATTAAATAGTTAGTAGAAGTGATTATATTTCAACTACGGCCTCAGTTTTACTGAGGATTTACGCGTCCTAGATTAACCTTGTGGACAGATGATGGCCGATAGCAGCCCAACAGGCTTAAAGAACAATTGAGAGCATGGGAGAGCGGATATCTTAATGGTGTAGTGTGAACACACGCTGGTCCGAAAAAGAGTGTCCGTAGTTCAAGTCCACCACACAGACATCATGTTCCAAGTTTTGCTCGTATTATTGTGATTACATTTCTGAGCACTCCAGGAACTAGCGCCATATAAACTGACAATTCTTCGCTGTGGATGTCCATCAATATTTTCAAACTACTGCTCTAAGGCTGTAGTATTTACAACACAACTAGTACATTCTTAGTCGCTTCAAATTCTTCTCTAATCCGGAAGAACCGTGCAGATGCGTTTTGTCGCTTTGAGACTGCTGGTACGACAGCGAAGCAATAATTTGTTGTTATCGTGGTCTTCGCATAGACAGGTAGACAGATGTCATCGCACATGTAGTTTTACGGCGAGGATGACTCTAGTGTTGCGATTAGCAATAAATATTTCAAGTCTCGACTACATTCCAGTTTATGATCGGGTAAAAATGTTGAATTTCTTAGTCGAAATGTTTTATTTGAGGAACAAACTCCCCTTCGAAACTTCACGCGTCTTCAGCTAAAGCTTAAGGATTTCGCCTTCTTCATAAGTGTTGTAGAACGCTGTTAAAACGATTCTCTTGTGAATTCGACTGATTATTGATACCCAATATCTGTCAGCATAAGTGAGTCTAATGCTGATAGCGGCTGTCCCGCCAGACCGTTGACGGTTGGCTGTTGACAGATAACGCGTTGTAGCGTAGAAAGATGCGCTGTGCAAAACGACCGTCGGTAGTGCAACGATTCGGCACGCGCTTTTGGAAAAAGTGAGATCTGGGTTCGAATCCCGGCTGACACGAATGTTTTTGCACACCACTCTACATTGTTGAATTCTCCTTATAGTCCTGGAGGTAGGCGGCTCAAGGCCCTTCCTAAAGCGTTAGTTGAAATGACTGCAAGAGAGTTTTAGGGAAGGGGATTGAACCGCGTCTCGTTTCCGATTTTGCTCTTTGAGACATTCACACCACTAATCACTGTGCTGCCCCACCCGCATGCTTTAATGTTACTCATCACGATTTTTTTTTCAAATTTTGTAAGTGCCTACTTTTCTACCATACGCTTACCTCTATATCTGGCAACTTTTTCTTAATCGCGAGAGCTGTTGAAACACCGACAACACCCTCACCGATAACAGCCACCTTCGTCATATCTGCAAGCCGTACTACACTTGACAGATCAGGAAAAGATATTGATTCTAATGCGCAGATGCTCAAAAAGAGTTTCACTGAGCGACCATGAGTAAGCAAACTACAGTTCACAGATCATTTTACTATGAAAATTATAAGAACCTATATATATTGCGCTACAACGAATGAGCCCTCATACCAATAGTAATGAAATTGAACAAAAATTTATCAGATCAGATTTGAGCGAGGTCTCAAATACAGTCGCTTTGAAGGTATGGCGCCTTTAGATACCGACTACATTTTCTGCGACACCGCTATCAACTTAGTTTGTAGGTGTGAACCGCAGGGCATCTGGCACTGATGAGGCGTGCGAGGTAACGTCAAAACGTACTTGTCCCACTGGCGAATGCCATATCAGACCTATGAAAGGCTTCAAAAATCCTATCAGATCAATTGAAATTACGACACTTTGAAGAACATATAATACATTTTCGATTCTTTTTCTGCCGAAAGACGTATTGTGAACGTAAAAAAAAAAATAAAGAACGAACGCAACTATTTTACTAAGAGTTTGCAGTCATTCGATAGCTTGTGGAATGCAAATTTCATAGTGAGACTTGTCCATGGGGTCTTCTCAGTGCGTTGTAGCACGAAATCAACCTTCTGGAAAAACTATGAACTCTGAAAAGTGAGTCAACGCAGAGGCGCGAAGATGATTTCAGGTCGAAGACCTGGTGTCCGCACGCAGAGTTCGGCATTATTTTTGGCTGTAACTGCCTGATTTCTCCTTTTATCCCCTAATGCTGTTCTCGGGCATTGTGGGGAATGAGAGGTTATCAAAACTAAATTATAAATATCGTTATTCTACTTCTCGAAAACAATTAGCTTTAGTAAATGTTGACAAGGAACGTTTCCGCACACTGCCATCGCGCTTCTATGACCCGACGTTCGAACGGCACGTCAACAGATATGGTCGCCCGCTTCTCACCTCCTTCCCAAATGAGTTGAGGTAATGCTTCATTAACGCCTTTGTACTCGCTTTAACCCTTTGGGTACCGCGTTAATATTTCGCCTGACCAGCAACGCGGTCGTCACACGAGAAATTAAAGTCGTGGTCTAGGGGGCGGGAAGCGAGCCAATTCAAGCTCTCGTGTACGCGGTGCGCCAATCGGTGCATCCAAATGGATACACGAGGAATCTAAAGGGCTAAGCATAATTACAGTTAATTGGCTTCTAATTTTAAGCTTATTCGATTCTCGAAAATTTAAAAGCGAAAGAACGTTTCAGAAAGTCACTCAAAACGCTATAGTGCTAGGGTACAGCCTTATGGTGAAGTCTATCAAATCGTTGAGTATTCTCGTAATTGGAAGATCACCGGCAGTTACAAAAAGAGTGCATCAAGTGTTGCACATGCGAAAAGATGAAAAAAGAGTCAATTGTAGCTTAGAATTAATCGCTATAAGATAGTTTAATATTCAAATAGCCGAAGACCAAACTGACTTCTTTTTGTTTCTCAATTTTATTTTTTCTTTTGTGGCTTGTTAGTGCACGCAATGAGTGTCACATTCTGAAGAGCCATCAAATCAGAATCACGCCGATGTCAGAATTAAGTAACGTGAATATGGTGACTACATAATCTGATGACATATTTTGAGCCTCTCATGAGGTCTGTTATGGCACTTAAATAGTGCTGGACGGACGTTTGGCCTTTTCAGCCTCATTAGTAGAACGGTGCCTTTCGTTTCAGTCAATCTCTTGTAAGGACATACTCCCTACATAACGAGGCCTCAAAAAACAGTCGATAAGAACGCTATAATGACTACACTTTATAAATAGAAGGACAACTTATATATTATCTATTTCACAATGTCTAGCTTTTTGATAGATTTCGCCTTATTTAGAGCTGAGAAGGGAGATATCAGCATGCATCTACTCGTCAAAGATTTTTCATAATCACGACCAAAAATGAAAGGGGTTGGAGAGTTGAGCTCTACCATTTACGTAGGCAAAAAATCTTAAATATCTATAACATTCTCTATGTGTGCAACCTAATAGAATTTCCAATCCTCTTCTGCAAACACAGTGTACTGTGGATATGCCGATCACAAGCTTCTCACCTGCTATACACATAGAAAGGTAGATACGTTCTAATTATTGGATTAGAAAATCGGAGCAATAAAGCCCACTCGACGATGAACAAAAAACTCACTTTCGTCTTAACACTCTAACTTATTACTTCAAGAACGGCCACGTGACAAAGTGTTACAAAATGAACAACAAGCAATAAAAACGCTAGTCCTTCTTATCATTCACGCACAAAGACAGAAACATGTTTCTTACAGGAATACGGAAAGAAAGAACGCGAAAAAGGATGAGGAAGAAATCGATCGACATGGCAATGACAAGTACTATCCTAAAATGAAAAAAAAACATGTGAGTTCGTCAGAAAGAATAGAGTTGAGGACAACTGAAAATATACGCGGAAAGAATTTTAGGTTCGGATAGACACGGCAGCACAAAGTTCAAAGGTCGCAACTCGAGCGTTTTAGGGAAAGCTGTTTCAAAACACCATTCATTTCGCAATTTAATTCTAACAGAGCACTTATGGCTATAGAATGGTGCACGAATTATTGAATTACTACCGCGTTCTCTAACATCATGACGTCATTTGATATGAGACCGTACCTAATAACTCTCAGAAAAGTTTGTACAATCGCTGACTTATTAATTCTGTCTACAGGTCATCGCCGGAATCTATCAAGTACAATCGATGTTCAACAAGTTCTTGAAGAATAATAAAAAGGACAAAGCTCTCGGCGTTGATCAATTTCTGAGAGATGTGCCATGCACTCGCCTTTTATTTTTAACCTCGTTTGAAGCGATTGAATGCATACCTGGCCTTTACAATGACTCGCGATGGCCTCCCGCTATAGCGAGTCAGTGCTGTGTATCCTCTCAGACAAGTCTGAGGCCAGTCCGATAGTAATTTACCGACCTCGGAGATATGGACGACTTGGTGAGCCATGAGCGCCAGATCGAACCATTGACCTTGTGTGCGACGCAAAGCACCTTTAACCATTGCGTCACACGCGCTTGACGAATGACAGGACTAGACGATTTTAAATGCACTATGACTGATCGTTTCTGAGGAGTGGAAGAAGGACTACACTGGCCACTTGACTCTACATGGATGAACATTGAAAGATAAAAACCTACACAACGTTTCGCTTTACGCAGACGATACAGAATGATAAAGAAAACATTGAGGTCAAAGTTTCGACTTCAGCAGATTAGTCAACAACATTAGAACTTTCATTATTAATTAAGCCAACTTATGTGGTCTGGCAAGGGCTCTTGTACAGCCCGATGCACGTGTTTCGTCTTTAAGACTCGTCGGTAGGGCAGAACTCGTCGTCTTTTTTTTATAGCCAGTTCTCTTAGGAGCCCTCCTCTCCCTACAGAGAGTTATCGAAGACGGACGTTTTACACTCTATGTCAGGTGAAATTTTCACCTAACACAGAGTGTTGTACACTCGATTGCTCTTTGGCTGGTGTATTTAAAATAAAGGTATAATATAATTGAAATATCGCATGAAAGGTATAACATTAGAACTTTCAACTCCCTATCCATTCTGGATAAACAAGAAACTGACGACTGATTCCCGTACGTGACTAGGTCTAAGTCTTGACCCTCCTAAGTCAAGTTTCATTTCAACAGAAAACATACTATTTCCTGATTCACGTATTTGTCCAAAAAGTTGTACTTCAATTTTTTCCTTCACTGTCATGGACACTCGGCGTTGACTGTGACTTGTTACTATGTATAGACTATTACTAGACTGTTACTATGTGAGAGTCCTTTCTCCGTACCTCACTAAGTTGGAATTCGCCAAAATGTTCAATGCAAGTCATCTCAGGATAAAAACTGCATTAAGAACATCGTGTAAGCTCACCATGACCCTTCATCAATAACGTGGCAGACAGAATTATGTTCGAACTTTGTAAACTGGAACGAACCAAGCAGTAGAAGTCACCGAATTTTATGCTATACTTGATGAAATCGCTGCGAAGCAGTTACTTCACCAATACCTTTCTCCTCTCGATAAAATCACTGTTATTGATAGCCCAACAATGCATAAAGAGGAATTGGGAGAGACCATGATACCTATATTATTTACTTATCGCTACCCTCCAAAATGTTCTTCTAACAGCAAAATGGAACAACATGGAAGTGAAAATCGATGGCCGGGGATTACACTACCTTCGCTTTGCTGATAACATCGTTCCCATAACACCACGCATAAGCCAGGCGAAAATAAAGTCGGACGACTTTGGCAACGCATGCGAAAGATTGATCTTTGACTAAACCACACTAGAACAATGTTCATAAACAACGAATTAGTGATGATGATGGTCGACGGATGCAAGACCGGAACACGTGTATTGCACTGTATAAGTGCCCATGACAGACCACATGGAAGGCTTAAAATATGTTGACAACGCATTAGTTTCAAATGCCTCAATTACGCTCAACAAAATGAACGTCTCCAAATGTTCCAGTTACGTCGATTTAGGTCGTGCGGTCAGTATGATGGACACTTTAGCCACAGATTTGAGTAAAGAGAAGTCAGCGAGTTGAGAGCTTACAAGTCATCGAAGGTATTGTGAAGAC